CTAGGCATGGGTTCCATTTGTAGAGTAAGTCTAAAATCCCATCAGAAAATGGCTGGTTATACTCATAGCATTTGTGACACTATTGAGGAGTAGCATATCTTGCCAGGCCATTTGCAGCTCACAGGGTTCACGGTTGAGTAAGAGTGATGATTGATTGCTCTTATCCCCAGTAGGATGCTAGCACCTTCCAGCAGTATGAAAGCTAGCCAGTGGGAATGATGCTTCCAGTTTAGGACAAGCTTGATTTCTCCATGATCTCACTCAAGTATGCAGTGTCTTCAGCAATAGGGTCTTGTTTTCAAGTTCTGGATGGTAACCAAGAGCAATGGCAAAAGCCTGTAATATTCAGGGATCTATGGGACCCTGCTGGCCAAAAACTCCAGCAGAGGTAACCCATATCTGGCACTGGATCAGCTAGTCTCCTACATCAGGTTTTCATATGACTTTTTCAAAGGTCTTTAGCGTTAGTTATCTCTCCCCATACTGACTCCCCTCCCGTACCCTCTCATCCTCCACCACACTTAACCCTCCTGCTCCTCTATTTCCATTCCCTTTTTATAGCACCTGCATTCCATCTCCCCTTCCTTGAAAGTCTACTCCCCAAGACTGTTCACTTGTTTCCTCAGTGCTACGGTTATTCTGATTTAAACACACATATTTAAAGAGTCAAAGCTAGCAAGCATCTTCCTTTGGGAGAAATTTTGTGACGTTTGTCTTTCTGGGTCTGGGTTACTTCTCTCAGGATGATAATTTCCATCTCCATTTCCTACAAATTTCTGTAGTAAGAAATAAACTACAGAGAGTAAGTCCTTTGGGTATATGCCCACAAGTGGTGAAGCTGCATCAAATGGCACATTTATTCCTAGCTTTCTGAGGAGCCTCCACACTGCTTTCCATAGTGATGGCACCCGTTAGTACTCCCACCAGCAATGAGTAAGTCTCCTGACTTCCCCACGTCTATCCAGCATTTCTTGTCTTTTTTTCCATCTTGGTCATTTTCACATGATATCTGAAATTTAATTTGCATTTGTAAAGGATGTTGAAATTTAAAAAAATTCTCACCCATTCTTATTTTTTCTTTTGAGTGAACTTTGTTTATTTCCATGCCCCAATTTTTAATTGGATTATTTGCTTTCTTGATGTTCAGGGGTTTTTTTAAAGTTCTTTGTATAGTCTGGTTTCTAACCCTCTGTCACATGTATTGCTGGGAAAGATGTTCTCCATACTCTGTAGGTTATTTCTTCACTCACATGGTGGTGTCCTTTGCTATACAGAAGCTTTGTAGTTTCATGAGGTCTCCTTAACAATTGTTGATTTTAATGCGTATACTACTGGGGTGCTGTTCAGAAAGTCCTTTCTTGTGCCTAAAATTTCCAATGCATTCGCACTGTCTTCTCTGACAGATTCAGATTATCAACTCCTATGTTTAGGTCCTTGATCTGTTTGGAGTTCGGTTATCCAGGGTGAGAGATAGGTTGAAGATGCTGGTTTTACTCCATTGTATATTTTTGGCTTATTGTAAAAACCAAAAACCAAAAACAACAACAACTAAAACACATGGTACAAGTAGTGTCGGCTTATACACACACACACACACACACACGCACACAAACACACACACACACACACACACACACAGACACACA